ATACTGTTTTGGCTGGAAAGCGCTCCACTTCTCAGCTAACTGAAATTGGTGTGCCTCAAGGTGCAGCACTTTCTCCATTTCTTTTCTCTTTCTTTTTGCATGACCTTCCGAACTCACCCAAAGTTAACTTCGTTAAGTATGCTGATGATCTGACCGTTTCTGTCCCTGTAGTTTCCACATCGGATTGTTCCCATATGAATGGCTTCTTAGCTGAAGTTAAGGATTGGTCTGGCTGAAATGGTCTTAAACTAAATCCAACTAAATGTAACACTGTTGATTTCAGCTTGAGAAGTGAAAAAGACATGCATGGATTGATCCAATCTCATGATTGTTGTAATATTGATGGTACCATGATAGAGAGTAAGTCAAGTGTTTCTTATCTTGGCATTAGTTTCTCTTCAAATCTTTGCTGGTCGTCTCATATTCTTATAGTTTCTAAGATAATTTTCCGTCTGACTTTTCACATAAAGAAGTTGAGGCACTCAGGTATAACCCAATCTCTTCTCATACAATTTATTAATTCATGTGTTTTGCCCATTATTCTTTATTGTTCTCCATTATTCTTCCCTGGGCTACTCAAGAAAGACCATATAATACTACGAAGAACATTGAGGGCTGTAAGTAGGGTCAGTGCTATCCCTTTGACTCAACTAAATGACACTGTTGTCAATAGGCATATGAATTCTTGTAAACACTTAGCTTAAGTTATCTTATCCGATAGTGAACATCCTCTTTATTCACAATTGTTTCCTTGTATCTCTTCGGGTAAGACCAGAAGAAATTTCATAAACATTTATGCTCGTACTACAAAATATAAAAATTCGACCGTACCATATTTGGCACGAGTATTGTGTGAAGAGACAAATATCAGAAACGAACTTTTACAACTTTTAAATCATTAACTAAACTATAAAATGTAATGATGCATATTAATGCATGTGTTATTTGTTATATTATCTAATTATTATTCACTATGACCTAGCAATGGTGTGATTTTGTTGGGGTTTTATTTTTTCCTATTAACTATCAATATTTTAACATCTTATATATTTATATAATTATAAACAGAGCTAAACCATTGCAATATGTAAAAGAAACGCTGAAAACTCCATGCTGTAAATTGTTATTGTTGTGGAATAAAGTGATTATTATTATTTATTTTTACATGATGAGGTTGCTAGCCACATGTGCAGCCTTCCCTCTTTATCAGTCTTATTTCTGGTTTAGGGAGGTAAATGTGTGCTTCGGTGGCCGGGGATTGAACCCCAGACCACCTGTGTGGTTGGAGAGCACTTTACCGCTGTGCCACCGACTCATGAACTAGACTTTGAAGTCGCTCATTTCAATTTCGCTGAGATTTTACAAATATGATTTCTACATAGGTCTAATTGTCACTCAGTGCATAATAATTTTTTAAACTAATCGGTCAAATCTTGATTACAGCTCATATGAATACGTGTTTAATATTTCCACTTCTTAGAATGTATGCGTGTATTACTCAACGAGGTCTGAGAAAATTACGTTTCCATGAGAAAACTTCAGCTGAGAGTTATTTTACCCCACTGCCTATAAAATGTCCTGTAATTAGGTTTCAAAAATATGACACTGAGAAGAGATGATCCGCCTGGCGAACCAGGTCAAGCTATGGCGTGTCACAATAACAGTTAACTTTAAACAAATATCCCTCTCCCTTCAGGGAATAAAGATTGAATAATTAAAATCTGAACAGCAAAAACACTATTTTAGTCTTATTTATGAAGAAGTTAGGCGATCCGAGGAAAGCATAACTAATCGAATTCGATGAATTTGCCTTGTTTTTGCCTATCATTTGCATATAGATTGAGTATGAAAAATAAATAGGTAAATAAATAAAGAACTCATAAAAGTAAACATACATACGTGTGTTTATGGTGTCATCATTTCACTTAAGAAAACGAAAAATGAAAAGCTAGATAAGCAGGAGACTTATGGCACAGTGGTTAGGACTCTCGCCGACCATGCACATGGTCCGAGGTTCGATCCCCTCCCGACGCACATCTGATATCTATGGTTGGCCGGCGAAATTTGGGCTACCGATATCCATGCTGAAAATTCCATATTTGTACCAAAAGTACAGTGTGGAATGAAGCTGTAAATCAAAAATAAAATAAAAATTTACTCAAATTCTATAGGATATGAAAAACGAGATGTTTTCCAATTAATCCAGAATTTTATTTTTTGCTGCTGAAGAGGAACATTTCACTAATAATTACTCAGTCATTAAGTGCCTTACCAACCACTTCGACCCAGTCAATAGACGGGAAATTATAAAATTCAATTATAAGTAATTAATATAACCCGTTGCAAAATAGGTGACTCACATGGCCCAAATAGTCTAACGGATAACGCTTTGGCTGGTGCTTGAAACTATGAACACTGGGCTAGAGCCTCGGTGGTGGTCAAAAGTGAATTCTTCCGTCAAAAGTCACTTCAGCTAACCTGCTCGTATGATGAGATTAGTCTTAACTAAAACAACAACAACAACACAACTCATGGCATTATTTTCTACCAAAACGCAACAAAATAATGTAGGATGCTTGGCATATTTTAGACGCAGGGATGGATGACAAGTGAAAATACCGTTAACATAACTGGTCATATTCGTAAGCGCCTGTCACAACCTTTCTTCACTCTTATTGTTTCACATCCAAAAATGATGCGTTGAAATGAAATAAAAATGACAAACTAATTAGACTGTGAAGTTGACGTGACTTGGTGACATGGTGAATTTCTAATAAATAGAAACATCAACCTACCTGCCTCCGTTATAAATATAAAGACGGACAGTATTTTAAAAGCCAGGTGGAAATACTGTTTTTAAGATAGTATTCAATTAGACAGGAATTAAGGTTGAAATGCTCTACTCTTCAGCCTAATAAGCATGCAAACTGTCTATTTATAACAGGGACATCAAACTCTTGTCTAAATTGTCGAAAAATAGAATACCAAGAATGTGACATCAATACTAACTACATTGTCCCTTGAAATATCAAACACTAATAGGTTGGATTATAACTGCGCTACAGGGATTTATTCCTTGTTAGAAATGCGCATCCTGGATTCCACTGCTAGCCACCATCCACCAATTGTATACAAATCAAATCCCCAGACATCGTCGAAGCATCTGCACAAGAAGCCAACAGACATGTCAACCTGAGACCGAACACTTCGGTCCAATCAATCGACGGGAAAATCAAAAATTCAATTCAATAATTAATATGACCCGTTGCACAAGAGGTGGCTCTCGTGGCCCAAGTGGTCTAGTGGATAACGCTTTGGCGTTTGAAACTATGGGTACTGGGTTCGAGCCTCGGTGGGAACATCATCACTCAGTGAGAAATGCAGGTACATCCAGCTGACGAGTCCCAATTAGGACGAAATGCGCTTTATCCTGGATTCCACTGCTAGCCACCATCCACCAATTGTATTAATTAATTCCCACTGCTTAAAGTTTCAGTTTGGAAGATTCAAGTTAGTTGCTTCATCCATCCATCCATTTTTTTTCTACTCGCATTAATTTTAGTTTATTTGACATCTCTTAATACTGGACAATCTGAATATATATCTATATATGTACATAGATATCTTTTGTCAATTTAAGCTTTTCGAATTTACTCTATAAATTTTAAGGATATAAGTTGACAGATGATTCGTTCAACCATCAAGGGTTCTTTATTCTTAGAAACAAAAAACTATTCGAATTGACTTCAGGCGAAATATAGCCAGTACCATCGATAACGCACTAATTTTTTAAGAAGAACCATTAATCATTATTGAGTTACGTGACCCAGTCTGTTAGACAATAACGTCCTTACTACTTTTCTCCAAACGCTTTACTTCATTCAGTATTTAGTTTTATCAACCAACACCAATGAGTATTTCATCTTAAACATTTGTGAGTAAAATTACTTTTAATGGCGAAACTAAATAATGATAACTAACATAAATAAGAGAGTAATCTTACCAATATAAAGAGGCAGGGGACATCTCAGACCCTACATAGAAGGATTCTTAACAAAGCAGAATTTAGAATGGCGTTCAAGCCTACAAACTCACTTAGGTATGACTAGCTCTGTAAGCTAAATGACCCTGTCGGTGAACTGTGAGTGGGGTCAACTACATAATTCAGTCAAACTAGTAGGTCTGGGGTAGTCAGATTGTCGGAACATAAGAATTCGGCAAAGGTTAGAATGATTGAATCCACCTACGAAGATAAGTAATTTAGAAAAAAACAACTCAGTACTACATTGCCCTGTATGCATTAACACACGACCACACAATGAGGTGGGTGGGACAGTGTCAAAATTTTAAAGAGTAATACAGATTTGTGGAGAAAGAGAGAGGTTGATTGCTTACTGTATCCCAGTTCATCGAGTCTACACCCAACATGTGCAATAGCAATAACTCATCACTCATACTAAAAATATGGAAAATACCACTACCAATCAAATCTGGTGATGAAAAATAATGGAATTATATAAACGAAGTTAGAAAACTGTGCGAGTATTGCTTTCATATGATGATTATGAGCAGTAATAATTTGTGCTATAAACGTGGTCATCAGTGAACATATTACTGTGCAACACGACTATGAGACTTCTTATATCAAATTACTTTCCAGCCTGACGTTTCTGTGGAATAGTGTATATGTTGTTGCTTTAAACTAATACCATAATTCATTAGTGAATATCGACAAGCGATGAATAAGTTTTGAAAGAAAGTTAAACCACGAAAACTGACTTTCTGATATACTTCAGATTTCAAGAGCGTACCTATTTTGAGTGGAAATGGTTCGAGAGAAATTGATAAGGTACCTCATATGCATGATATTTTCAACAATAATATATATATATATATATATATTTAATTGGCATACTTCTCTTATCTTTGTTTCAGGATATCGATCTCTTGTGGAGCTTTTTATTCACCAAACCGTTCACAATCCAAGATCTGAGGAAACTATGCTCTCTATAATCTTCATTCTTAATTTACTGCTTAATACCGGTGTATTCACAGTTCATTCTGCCTCAGATATGCATCATAAGACTTCTGAAGAGAATGTTAAAAAATCTATTCAAAAAAACGACAGGAATCTATCCTACTTGAATACAAATCCCGTAAGTAACAGCAGGATCACCAACATGTCTGACAAATACACTGAATTACAAAATCAAAAGCTAATTTTTCTGTACACAATGAATACACAGACTTCAGATGAATTTTATTTTGATTATCCGAATATAAATAAGGTGATAATCGAAGGTGTTCTCCAACGTTTGAGAAATTCACCTGTCAGCGACAATACTTCAGCCTTTTATTCATCATTTTCAAAAGATCGTTTGATAAAACGTTCTGTACTGACTTCAGACTATGTGTCTTCCACCACTGCTGCCTCAGTCTCTGGCTCAACATCATCATCATTACTGCCTTCAACATTACCGCCTTCCACTATAACTGCCTATGATATAGACTTTGTTCGTGTCAAAATTCAGGGAATTATATTTGATGTTAAATTTCAACGTCCAGATTATAAATCGAATGGAGGTTTACATCTACGTAATTTAATGAAACCATTTCAACATTTGTTGTTAGACCCACAGTATACTGAACAAGTGATTACAACTTATAATCCCTTGGTGATGCAAAATGAAATATGCAAAGAATTCGAGAATAATCAATCTGACCAGCATGTTACAAATACTTTCTTCATAGTGAATGATGTCGGTGCACTTGTCGATCGACCAATGCAGGACAGGCTACATCGACTGTTCTTTCAAATCACATCTGCACTTGGTATACCCAGTATTACATGGTTACCAACTAGAGTTGGACAATTTGAGGCAAGTGAACATATATGTACCTTGTTTTTGCCTCTATAGTTTCGTGAATTTTAGCCACTGTACATTCATATTGAACTGTAGAATCTTCAATTGAATTTAAGTTTTTTACCATCCATTGATTGGACGAAGTGCTCGATCTCAGGTTGACATTTCGGCTTCTTGTGCAGATTCTTTGGTGATGTCTGGGCATTTAGTTGGAATTTAGTTAGTGGATGCTGACTTGCAGTAGTGAAATCCGGGATGCGTGCTTTGTCCTGTTTTGGACTCGTCAACTGGATGTACCTGCATTCCCCAGTGAGTGATGATAATGTTCCCACCAAGGTTCGAACCCAGTGCTCATAGCTTCAAACGCCCGTGCGTTATCCACTAGAAAATTTAGGCCACGAGAGCCAGCACTTGTGCAACGGGTCGTATTAATTATTTAATTCAATTCTAGATTTCCCCATCGATTGATCGGACCGGAGTGCTCGATCTCACGTTGACATGTCGGCTTAATATGACCTGTTGCACAAGAGGTGGTTCTCGTAGCCCGAGTGGTCTAGTGAATAACGCTTTGGAGTTTGAAATTATGAGAAATGCGTTCGAGCCCCGTTGGGAACATCACCACTCACTGACAAATGCAGGCACATTTAATTGATGAGTCTCAAACAGGACGAAATACACATCATGGATCCCACTACTGCCACCCACCATCCACCAATTAAATTCTGTAGAATCTTCAGTTTGAGAGTATTTTTCAAGCACTAGAAGTCCATCCTGTTTTTTAGGTCTAATTAATATGATCGTTGAGAGACTGTCTTGTTCAAATTTATATGTTAGTGGAAATTATGAGGGATTGTGAATTTATAACAGTAAGATTACACAATGATTTTCACTAGTGTTGAATATAGCTTTGCATTTGATTCTTGATTCTACGTTAGGAAATATAGTTGGTTTTTTATTAAGTATACATGAGGTTAGCTAGTATTATTATTATTGTTCCCTTGGTTTCCTAGTGGAACATACGGCCTCAACTGCACGTCTCCACTTCCTTCTGTCTTCCTTCTGCTGTACTTTTCACCTGCATCCATGTTAGTCCATACTCTTTCAACTCCTTTTCACACCATCTACTCCATGTCAATCTTGCACTGACGTCCAACTCGCCGCGTGCTACCCTTTCGGCTTGGTTCAACTCGAGCAATGGGCTGACGCGCACGCAATGTCACCCAACGGCAGCCTCCTCAGCGAGTGAGTGTACGATCCATCTCCACTTTCTCCTGCACATTTGTTGGTCGGCGATCGGTTCTTGTTTTGTTTATTCCCATAGTTTCTTGTTGGCGATTCTTTCCGGCCCGGCCCGGCCAAGCCATCTGATCTTCAGTATAGATCCAGCGAAGACAGTTGTTGATAAAGATCTGGGGTAGGCTGTTGGTGGAAATATTCTTTGTGACCCGCCCACCAAGTTTCTGATCCGTTCCGTATAGAAAAACCGACTGACTTTGGGTTTGTATTGAAGATCCGACCGAATTTTGTTGTTGATGATGAGTGATGGAGATTTCGACATTGGTTTCAGGTTGATGAAGGTGTTTATCGCCTTCCCGATTCTCGCTCAATTTGACATCCTCGTCCGTTCCAACTGGCTGTAGTTGAGACAATGCTCCCTAGATAAGCGGGTGAATGAAGTAACCTCTTTCAAATCGCTCCCGTTGATGCTGGGTGATTGGCGCTGGATGTTGCTGCTGTTGTTATTGTTGGTTGGTTGGTTATTTTCATAACCTCCGTCTTGTCTGTGTTCACCTGGAGTCCTGTCTTCGCCGGCTGCTTCTTCGACCAGTTTGTCGGTTTTCGCTTCTAAGCCTTCGATTTTGTATGACATCAAACATAAATCATCCACGCGCGAAATCCAGGTCTTCTATGTTGTTCACGTCGGTACAAGTTATCCCTGTCGTCTCGTTTCCACGCACTGTCTGACGCATAATCCAGTCCACCACTGATATGCATCCACATATATATATATATATATATATATATTTATGTGTGTGTGTATGTTGGTCTCTCTTTCTGTTTGCTCGCTTAGTCTGTGACCATTTCACTTGTATGAACCTGTCTCCTTTAACAACGTATATTCTCCTTATATTATATATAATATGAGTGCTTGTTGACAGTCCGTTGCTTGGTGACATATATCCATATATGTTGGTTGTTGACATGTCTGCTATATTCGCTATGTATATTTGGATCGACACTCCATTATAATTAGCCATTCATGTTAAGACTGTCTAATGATTTGTTCCCACGCTTTGTCTGGAACATTCATATATATTTCGCATTCAATTTGTGTGAACTACTTTACTTACTTACCACTTTGGTGGGAGACCATTTATTTTCGTCTCCTTGTGTTTGGACAATAGAATTATCATCGCAAACCTAGTGGTCTTCTGATTTCCGCCTTCTTGCGTCAGGACTACTAAACTCTCGACCAGTACATAGGAATAATTTGGCGACGAGTACATAACAATCACATTTAGGAATTATGCTAGCAACATAACAAAGGTGAATTTTTTAGGTACAATATGAACTTGCTTGTACCTCAAAGTGGTGTAAAATTGGTATTAGATCGTTCGAGGCAATCGACAGGAAGCCTTGAATTTGGGTTTTTGGTGGTAGTTGGCACTCATCAGCAAGGTCTTCAACCGTCTAATATCAACAGTTCACAGTGCACCGTGATGGTGATCCGCCTAGCATTGTGGCTGCAGACTTGACTGATAGATTTCAGTCTGCACCAAAGATAATACTAGACATATTACACACTAATCAGTGACTAGTGTCCAGTCAAAAGTGGTAAATTCATTAAACCCTCTTGACAATGTGGACTCGTTGCAACTAATACTGTTCTAAACAGACAAAGCGACAAAATCATAATGATTTATAATAAAGTTAAGGATATCGATTTTTCTGGATAAAATCCTTTATAAATTCAATATATATTCTTGATTCGGAGAGCTGTACGTTTTGCTTTATTGGTGAATTATGTGCTCAAAGATGCACACGTCGCATATCTAAATTTTGGAATGTAAAATGTTCACCAGCCTTACCCATAAAAACCAAACATTCCAGTTGTGTTTAAGTGATGGTTTATGCACGCATTATACCGTAATGTGATAGAACTTAGAATAATTTATCGCTCTACTCTAAGAGGAGATATAATGTATTGTAAAATATGATACTAATTGAGGCTGAAACAAGAAGTCACTTGGTAAAGCAATTAGTGTCAGTCGCTTAGCCAGTCAACTAAATCTCTCTCTACCGACTACATTGTACGAGTATGATCACGGATTGATTTCATCTAGAGAACTATTAGAAACGAAGGAGTACTGGATGGTTGCATGTTCCTAGTTTAGGACTAACTTTTCATTAATCAGTACGCACCCACTGGGGTTTGAACCCAGTACCTTTCGATTACAAGGTTTGTTTGTAGACTATTCCGCTAATGGAACATGATTGAATGACCCATGGATTCGACATTTTTACCAATTCATAATTTTAGTGTGTATTTCTGAAGAAAATAAAAGACAGATTCAGCGGAGAAAATTCTCTTTTCTTTATCGACGAAATCATCTTCACAGGCTAGCTATACAGTCGTATTTATACTTACAAAAATATGCAGTGGTCTATTATTGAGTGAGTAATTGATAAAATTACTCAGAAGTGGCTTTAGAAGTGAAAATTAAAAGTTGTAAATTACGTGGTACCCAAAAACACAAAGATAGATATTTGACAAGGTTTAAACTGCTATTGAATGAATGAGAATGAAGGTGGTAGTTGAGTGTCAATTTAACAAGTGTGAAGAGGGTGTGAAATGTACAGAAGGAGCATATGAGAGTGAATTAATTATTACAGCAAAAGCAAACTAAAAGTAAAATTAAAAATTAAAAATGGAAAGAATAAATCAAAACTTTTTACAGGGAATGACTAGTGAAGAGGTAAAGACCAAAGTAGAATAAGAGACTGGACAAACGTTTCCTGTATACAGAGTTCAGGGTTGTATTGATGAATCGCCAGCGCCTTCATTATACACAAAAGCCGAAATCTGACGCCTTTTGTACCACTTGGCTTCACCTTGTAAATGATCTTGAAAGACGACTCTGGTGGATCTACGTGGCCTGAGTTCACCAAATGCTTGAGAACTGAGCTGGTAGTTGTTTTGCATTATCTTTTTGCCAACTCTTCCGGAAAATGTTCAGAGATGCGTTTGGAAAGCTTGTACTTTTTGCGAGCGGCCAATATAACTAGCTCCACATGAACAGGTGAATTCCTATCTTTGTGCTTTAGAGTATCACGTAATTTACAACTTTTAATTTTCACTTCTAAAGCCACTTCTGAGTAGTTTTATCAATTATGTCACCCCCTATCACTCAATAATAGACCACTGCATATTTTTGTAAGTATAAATACGACTGTATAGTACAGCCTGTGAAGATGATTTCGTCGATAAAGAAAAGAGAATTTTCTCCGCTGAATCTCTCTCTTTTTTATTTTCTTCATGACTCAATGGGTACTTCTGAAGACTTCGAAATTAGGACAAAACAGCTGTTTAGTACTCTCGGGTTGTTGATAGTTGTCTAATTTCCATCAATCCATAATCGAACATGAAACAAATAAAATCCCTAAGAGCTAACTGTTGAAGATTTTAACACGTAATCTGCTGAATTATTAAACGTACGCCATCTTAATGGATGATACTTGACTGTCCTTCTAATTTTTTTATTTAATAGGGATAGTAATGTATTAAATGCACACGTATAATCACCAAAAGTGCATAGTGAAGAAACCGCCTCCAGACTCTCAGTGCTGATCACCATCGGAATAAATAGTATTTCAAGTGAGATTTATTATTGTACTCCGGGGATTTATGTCTATTGTCAATAGGATAAGGAAATAACTGTTAGCTGTTGAAGTGAACACTTTTTGTTTACAGAATTATGATGTGTAACAACGGAACACATAAATTAAGCTGCAAA